GAAATCATTTCTTATACCCACACAATATCTGATTCATGTGGGTGTGTTTTTCAATTCCCTCATCAGTTGGGCCCAGCCTTCTCCCCTTTGTTTATGGGATATGTAATGTCTCATTCATGATCTATTGGCCTCTCCCTCCTATACTGCATGAAAGACCCTATATCTTTTGGGAACATGGGATTTTCTCATAGCCCTCATTCTCCTTGGTCGTGCCCACATGTGTCACCTTCAGTGGGTGTTACTTGACCAAAGGAGCCTCATTCATGATCCCTTGGATGCTCCTATTACCCTGTCTTCCCACCTATAGGCTGACTTTGCCTGGTGGTTGGATCAGACCAATACTACCATTAGAGTTCCTTTTCCACTTCCTCAACCAGATTATCATCTTTTTTACAGATGCTTTCCTCTGGGGTTAGGGTGCATATCTCAATGCTCAAGAGGTTTTGGGTCACTGGACACTGGCTGAATCATCCCTACATTTCAATGTCTTGGAGTTGCTGGCAGTTCATTGTGCTCTACTTCACTTCTTGTCGGATGTTTTGGGACATTTGGTGCTGGTCCACTCTGACAATTCCACGATAGTGTCTCACCAGGCAAGGGCTACCAGGTCACAAGATCTTTGTTTCTGAACATTGTATCTCTTCTACTGGGTCCACAATCATCATATCAGACTGTTAGCATATCATATGCTGGGTGCCCTGAATCTGGTCGTAGACCGATTATTTTAGCCCGACAAGATTCTCCCAACAGAGTGGTCATTAGATCCACAGGTGTTTTGGGTGTTGTGTGCTCATTGGGGGTATTCCAGATGTGGATGCTTTTGCCATACATTTTGATGCACAACTTCCCCGTTTTTGGTTTCATGTTCCTCATCCTTTGGCAGAAGCTATAGATGCTGTCAGTCAGAACTGGAAAGGATATTACCTGTATGCATATCCTCCTACTCGTCTTCTTCTTTGATTCAGACCATTCAATGTACTACTGGTGGCTCCGTTTTGGCCTGCTCAAACAAGGTTTCTACTTCTGTGCAGGCTTTCAATGTCACCTCCCCTTCCTTTGCTGTTGTCTCCCACACTTCTTCATCAACCTCAATCAAGCGTGTGTCATCCATCCATTCCGGCCCTTTGCCTTCAAGTGTGATCTTGTTCCCTGACTGCTCATTTACTTCCTTTTTTTCTGTTGATCTTAGCCTTCTATGATTATACTGATCCTGATCATCTTTTGTGTCCAGTTTGAGCAGTGAGGTGTTACTTGGCATGCACAGCTCCATTTTTGGGTTTTCACAATTGTTTATTCTTACCATAAGACCACACTTCTTCCATAGATCTTTCATCATCTTTGCTTACCGGATGAACTTATCAACTCATCCAGATCATGTATTCCTTCTTGGATGAAGATTCTTGCAAGCTATATCATGTTTCATCTTATCAAATTTGCCACTTCACTCACTCTTCTTTAACACACTATTAATGATCCTTAAACAAGATCCTCAAAAGTGGATGGTGGACTACGTCCAACATCATCTTCCCCCATTACCTCCACCACCTAGCAGTTTTGTCTCCCCCAGGATATTGTCTACCTACAGTTGCTATTTTCCAGTCTACTTAACGTCTTTCATGTGTAATTACCTCTTTTACTTCTTTACCCATTTCTATTTTTATATGATTTGTTTCTCAGAACCTATCCAGTAGCAGATGTTGCTTCATGGGGTATATTTACTTCCTTAAATCTGCATTTAGTCAGGGGTAAGGGAAAGTATTAAACTCATTTGCCCTGGCATCGAACTTGCCTGCTATGGAGATGGGATTTTCAGTAATATCACTGAAGTGATCTATATATATATATATATATATACACACACACACACA